CTTTTTTTCTCCTCCTAATCAAATAAATTCACCCAACTCATTTTTAAAAAGTAACATAACTAATCAAAATCACTGTTATGAATAATATTTAATTTATAATTAATTAAGGTTGAAATTGAAATGTTAAGTAAATTAACAAGAATTTCTCGATTTAGACCTTTTTTTGAGTTTTATAATTAGAAGCCACCATCAGGTAATTGTAATTATGAAGGAAGGATTACTTAAGTAATAAGAAGAACATCCAGAATAGAAAATAGAAAATTCTAAGAAGGAAAAAAATAAAAAAGAAAATTGGTAAATAAAAAAGTAAGAAGAGAAAATTGAAAGGGAAACAAAATAAGATCTTTCTTTCAAACAAGCTAATTAATAATAATAAAAAACAAATGAGAGAAATTAATAAGAATAATTTAAATTTTCAAAGAGAAAGAATCAAAATAATGTTGGATATGTATTAAATAAATAATAAAATAGCCAAATGATCCATTTTTGTAATATTTGTATATATTTTTGACATCTGTACCTTTAGCTTATTTAATATATAAAGTTTATGAAGAAGGAGAAAATCTTATATAATTCAATGAATTTAAAAAAAATTATTTAGAGAAATAATTAGTGTATTGTATAGAAATATAGAAGGATAATGATGAGTATTGTAGTAAAGGTTTTTTTCTTATTTAATTTTTTAGGCTTATCATTACATAATCTATAAAAATACAATGATGCAATTAATTGCTATGATAAGGCAATATAAATAGATCCTAACAATGGCCTTGCTTATTATTATAAAGGTTTATTTTTTATTTAATTTTAATAGGCTTATCATTACATAAACTATAAAAATACAATGATGCAATTAATTGCTATAATAAAGCAATACAAATAGATCCTAACAATGCCGTTGCTTATTATTGTAAAGGTTTATTTTTTATTAATTTTAATAGGCTTATCATTACATAATCTATAAAAATACAATGATGCAATTAATTGCTATGATAAGGCAATATAAATAGATCCTAACAATGGCCTTGCTTATTAAAATAAAGGTTTATTTTTTATTTAATTTTAATAGGCAATTCATTACTTTTTCTATAAAAATACGATGATGCAATTAATTGCTATAATAAGGCAATACAAATAGATCCTAACAATGCTGTTGCCTATAATAATAAAGGTTTATTTCTATTTAGTATTAATAGGCGATACATTATATAAACTATAAAAATACAATGATGCAATTCATTGCTTTAATAAGGCAATACAAATAAATCCTAATTTTTTCGTTGCCTAAAATAATAAAGGTTTGTTTCCTATTTAATTTTAATAGGCTAAACATTATATAAACTATAAAAATACAATGATGCAATTCATTGCTTTAATAAGGCAATACAAATAAATCCTAATTTTTTCGTTGCCTATAATAATAAAGGTTTGTTTCCTATTTTATTTTAATAGGCTAAACATTAGATGTGTTATAACAATACAATGATGCAATTGATTGCTATAATAAAGCAATACAAATATATCCTTACAATGCCATTACTTATTATTATAAAGGTTTATTTTTTATTAATTTTAATAGGCTTATCATTACATAATCTATAAAAATATAATGATGCAATTAATTGCTATAATAAAGCCATACAAATAGATCCTAACAATGCCATTGTCTATATTAATAAAGGTTTATTTGGTTATTTAATTTTAATAGGCTTAACATTAGATGTGTTATAGCAATACAATGATGCAATTAATTGCTATGATAAGGCAATACAAATAAATCCTTATAATGCCTCCTCCTATGGCACTAAAGGTTCTTTTCTTATTTAATTTTTTAGGCTTATCATTACATAATCTATAAAAATATAATGATGCAATTAATTGCTATGATAAGGCAATACAAATAAATCCTAATGATGCCTCCTCCTATTGCAGTAAAGGTTTATTTCTTATTTAAATTTAATAGGCTTAACATTAGATGTGTTATAACGATACAATGATGCAATTAATTGCTTTGATAAGGCAATCCAAATAGATCCTAACTGTGTCATTGCTTATTATAATAAAGGTTTATTTCTTATTTAATTTTATAGGCTTAATATTACATCATCTATAAAAATATACCGATGCAATTAATTGCTATGATAAGGCAATAAAAATAAATCCTAATAATGCCCGTGCCTATCTTGGTAAAGGTTTATTTATTATTTAATTTTCTAGGCACATCATTACATAATCTATAAAAATACAATGATGCAATTAATTACTATGATAAGGCAATACAAATAAATCCTAAAGATTTCCTTGCCTATTCTAGTAAAGGTTTATTTCTTATTTAATTTTAAAGGCTTATCATTACATCATCTATAAAAATATACTGATGCAATTAATTGTTATGATAAGGCAATACAATTATATCCTTATGATGCCTCATCCTTTAATATTAAAGGTTTATTTATTTCTGATTTAATTTTTAATAGGTTATTCATTAGAATGCCTTAATAATTACGATGAAGCCTTAAAAAATTATGACTAGTCTCTAATAATTGACTCAGCAAATACTGTTACCTATAAACACAAAGGTAATTTTAAATTATTTATAAAAGGTTATTTATTAACGAAGATGAAAAAGTACAAAGAAGCTATTAAAGTATATGAGCAAGCAATACAGAATTGCAAAACAGATTAGAATGAATTCAAAAAACTAATTGAGGAAATTAAAAATAATAAATGAACAATTATTTTTAAAATATATTGAAATATTCAATTAACGTTTTAATTCAAATTATAAACCATTGAAATATTTTGAGAAACTCAACCATGAAATATTTTACTAAAATTCTTTATCTTTTTAACAAAATGATTTGTAGTTTTTGAATTATATACTTAAAAAATGAATTCTTTGGACATGACTTTCCAGTTTACTTGAAAAGATATAACTTATATGACTTCGTTTTAAACATAGTAAATTATACTGTAAATATTTTTGATATTGGCATATTAAAATTCAAAAAATTTACTAGGACACATTTGTGATTTACTTTCTTTTTTATAATGATAGAAATAACTCCTATATACTCTCTAATACCAATTTTTATAGCAGTAAATTTATATTATAACTATGCAGAAAATGAAAAGAAGATTGACTAAATTTATTGCTTAAAAATCATCTTTTATCAGATACAATTTAACTTTAGTAGCTAATTGCTGCATATAGAAATTTTACTAAGAATGACAATAAAGCTCCACTAATTTTCTATGTTACACCTATCAAATACACACTATGCTAAAAATTCTTTGGATTAATAGAGCTGTATGCTGAGACTTGTATTGATATAGAAGGCCCTTGGGAGAAGATATCTAATAATTCTAGTTATTGTGATAAAAAAAGGAAAACTACTTGATTTTTAGTCATTTTTCTTAAATAAAAGTTTAGTACAGATTTTTAAGGAAAATTAGGAGTATTTTCAGCTCCATGTATCCATACTAAAGAGCATATTGAATATTTGAATGATTAATTAAATTTAGGGAAAGAAGGAAGATTAAATTTTTTTTTCAGACTATCATAAATAGTGTAATGAAATTTGCAAAAAATAGTTATTAAGAGATGATGATGATAAAAGTGTTTCAAAAGATAGAAGCTTTCTTTAGCTTCAAAATGTTGAATTATAAAACTTGTTAGCGATAAGCATAATTTGTGGAGACATTCTCGAAACCACATAATGAAGATTATTAAAAAAATTCTGATTCCTCATGCACTGGCCAAAATTGCAAGTTAGTAAATGAATTCAATGAAATTTGTGAATGTTATGGAGATGAATTTAAATTTGACCTGAATAGAGTATTAAAATATGCTTTAGATTTAAAAATATGTGGGTATTGTTAAAAAGAATGTTGAAATTTATAATGTTCAAATTGTGCTTAACTTTGACAAAAGTAAATTACTTATTGTGATTTCTGTATAAAATAGCAGCAATGCTACTACTGTTAATCAAAACAAGAAGTTAATTCTGATGATGGTGAAACAAAATATCATCGTGAAGTGGCTTGTAACTTTTTTGAAAACTTATATTGTTTCAAATGCTTATAGAGCTTTTCATATATAAAATGGTCTTCACAGAAAGATTATGTAAAAGGAGAATGTGACTGTAAGGAATGCGAAAAGAGCTGAAAGATATTACATTACTCAGAAATAATTAAAATATATAAATTTATTTTCATTCATTATAAATTTTGTTTTCAACTATTATCTTTCTTTTCAGCAGATACTAAAGAGTGCTCTAGCCACAAAAAATAAAAATCAATTTCTATACCTTTTTTTTTATAGCCTAGTAATGATTGAAGAGTTTCCTGTAATTTATATTAGTTCCCGTCCTAACATTACCTTTATAATTTTACATTAAGTTTTTCTAATATTTTAAATTCTTGCAAAGCATAATATTGGCTACTTGCTTATCATTTTTTAGAATCTGATGAAAGATAAAGTTCAAGAAAAGAAAATGTTTCAATTTTAGATGTTGAGAAGGTAGATGATGGAAAGATATGATGAGAAAATATATTTATATTAATATTAGAAAAAGTTTTAATGGATTTAATTATTATTCTTGTGTTTTGGAAAATGGATAACAAAAATTATTATTATCTTATAATTTAAGAGTTTACTCAGCCTTTCTTTCTTGATTTAAGAATTTTTTTGATGGTAGTTTTCAGTTTTTAATTCCAACCTATCTAAAGTGAAAAGATTCCCAACATTTATCTCTTTTCCTTAATAAAACTGTATGAATTATAAAAACTATTAATTAATTGAATGAATTCAGCATTCAGGCAAAACGGAAACTGTCCTAGCCTCTTGTTTTACTGATAAAATTGGATACAGAGATAATGACCTCTATGCAGGAATTTATTATGCAGAATTATCAAAAGATTATAAAGCAAAGGATTTTAGTGCACTTGGAAACCTAGCTTACAAATACAAGCTTAGAATTACTTATAATGGAAAGTCAGTTATTGCAGAGAAAGGAGATGTAGGGACAGACGGTCCTTCCCATCCCAAACTTGATATCCACATAAAAGCCCTTCAAGCCCTAGGTTTAACAATTTGTGATAATTTCCTATAAATTGAATACTTAGGTTGATATGACATTTACATTTCATAAAAAATTTCTTAAAAATGTATCTTATATTTATTTTATGTAATAAAATTTCAAATTAACATTTTTCATTTTAAAATGAGTGCAATATTCATTTTTAGCAAAATAAACTCTCATTAATATTAATGATTATGATCAACTAACAATTAATTACTTTCTAGAAATAAAAGCTCATTTCTATATTTAAACACAATACAAGAAATTATTAGCTCCAATTTTTTGATAAGACAACTCACAATATGCAAGCACTCTTGATGAATAATTATATAAATTGTTTGTCAGATTCCACTTTATTATTAATATAATTATGAATTTAATAATTGTGTTTTTATTTGCGGTAGCATATTGTTATCCAATTATCGTCACAAATACAGACTTCATTATTAAGTTTTTTTTCAGCAGTAAAACTAATTTTAGGTGGTTTCCTAAGAGATTACTCAGCTACATCATTTTTTGTATTCATAATTAACATCAAAGTTTTCGTTTCACTTAAAGCAGTTTAAATTTTTTCTAGAAAATAATATTTAATATGGTAGGTATCATAAATCTTGGTCCTTGAAAAGATTATGGTAGGTATAAATCTTGGTCATTGAAAAGATTATGGTCTTCCTAAAAAAAAAAAAAAAAAATTTATTGTTAGAACATTCAACATTATCTGACTGCTGAAATCAAATTATAATAGGCCAAACCCTTCTAAGAGTTATAATTAATTATATAATTTTAATTTCATAAAATTAACAATAACAATTCAAATATAAATTGGATTCAAATTTTAAAGATTAGTTATTTTTTTGTCTTAGATTAATAATTAAATTTTAGAAAATAAACTGTTTTAATATTGAAAAATATTATTTTAATGAAGGATAGCAATGTTATTTTAAAAACTTGCTTATTCTAATTTTCTAACTGGGCTAACTTTTAATCAATTTTTTTTAATCTGATAATTAATTCTTTCTATTTTTTTTTTGACGATAAAGTTTATTTGCTTCAGCATTCATTTTAAAAATTTTTAATTCCAATTATTTATTTTCATCATCAATCATTGATGTAATATAATTCTGTCTCTTAAATTAATCAGTTTAAAAAAAATTAATAAATATAATCTTTTATTGAGTCCATTATACTCAATTCTAAGACTAAAAAGCCTTCTAAGTACAAAAAAGTATTTAAAAATTATTTTATATAATAATCTTTTAAAAAAATTTCTAATAATTTATGTACTCATATAGAATATTTTTAGAATAGAGTTTAGTTTTAGGCTTTAAATAATTGTTTAAATTAATTGCAATATAATCAGATAATCAGCATCAGGTATTAGAAAATACTCATTATTAATTAATTCTTTTTTTGAGGATTTTTCTTTTAAAATTTGATTTTAAAAAATTTATATCATTATTTCAGAAGATGTCATTTACCTAAGTGTAGGAATCAAAAAAATTGGCACATCATTTGAATTCCCACTCAACAGTCTTAATGTTTCTTGATGTAAGGGTTGCATAGATTGAAAAAGTAGAATAGCGAGTTCTCTAGACTTATATTGTTTCATTTAAGTAAATTCGTCATCAATTTATTTTAGAAACACAAACAAAAAAATTGTACTTCATTCAAAATCTTATACCTTTGGAACTTAGGTATCATTATTTATATGTACTTTTTAGGAACATAAACTAGAGAAGGATTACTTGATTGTGTAAAAGTTATCATCACTAAATTTCCCCGTAGAGAGACCTATTTTCTTTTGTGATGATAAATCTATTATTGGAGAAAAATTTTACGCAACAGAGTACTTGGAAGGGAGGAGGTTTGGGAATTAAGAATTGATAAATTTGACATTTGAAGAAAAGAGAATAATTTTGATAGAATGTGCAANAAAAAAAAAAAAAAAAATTTATTGTTAGAACATTCAACATTATCTGACTGCTGAAATCAAATTATAATAGGCCAAACCCTTCTAAGAGTTATAATTAATTATATAATTTTAATTTCATAAAATTAACAATAACAATTCAAATATAAATTGGATTCAAATTTTAAAGATTAGTTATTTTTTTGTCTTAGATTAATAATTAAATTTTAGAAAATAAACTGTTTTAATATTGAAAAATATTATTTTAATGAAGGATAGCAATGTTATTTTAAAAACTTGCTTATTCTAATTTTCTAACTGGGCTAACTTTTAATCAATTTTTTTTAATCTGATAATTAATTCTTTCTATTTTTTTTTTGACGATAAAGTTTATTTGCTTCAGCATTCATTTTAAAAATTTTTAATTCCAATTATTTATTTTCATCATCAATCATTGATGTAATATAATTCTGTCTCTTAAATTAATCAGTTTAAAAAAAATTAATAAATATAATCTTTTATTGAGTCCATTATACTCAATTCTAAGACTAAAAAGCCTTCTAAGTACAAAAAAGTATTTAAAAATTATTTTATATAATAATCTTTTAAAAAAATTTCTAATAATTTATGTACTCATATAGAATATTTTTAGAATAGAGTTTAGTTTTAGGCTTTAAATAATTGTTTAAATTAATTGCAATATAATCAGATAATCAGCATCAGGTATTAGAAAATACTCATTATTAATTAATTCTTTTTTTGAGGATTTTTCTTTTAAAATTTGATTTTAAAAAATTTATATCATTATTTCAGAAGATGTCATTTACCTAAGTGTAGGAATCAAAAAAATTGGCACATCATTTGAATTCCCACTCAACAGTCTTAATGTTTCTTGATGTAAGGGTTGCATAGATTGAAAAAGTAGAATAGCGAGTTCTCTAGACTTATATTGTTTCATTTAAGTAAATTCGTCATCAATTTATTTTAGAAACACAAACAAAAAAATTGTACTTCATTCAAAATCTTATACCTTTGGAACTTAGGTATCATTATTTATATGTACTTTTTAGGAACATAAACTAGAGAAGGATTACTTGATTGTGTAAAAGTTATCATCACTAAATTTCCCCGTAGAGAGACCTATTTTCTTTTGTGATGATAAATCTATTATTGGAGAAAAATTTTACGCAACAGAGTACTTGGAAGGGAGGAGGTTTGGGAATTAAGAATTGATAAATTTGACATTTGAAGAAAAGAGAATAATTTTGATAGAATGTGCAAAAACATTAGCTCATTTGCATTCAATAAGCTTAAATTAACTAGGTCTTGAATAATAAGAGGATAAAAGCAATCACTATTAAATAATTTGTAAGTAATTATTAGATTTATATAAACAAAATGAAACAAAAATATCAACCAATATTGAAGATATATTGTATTGGTTACCTATGAATATTCCAACAAAATAAGTACTTGATAATCTTTGTTTAATTCATGGTAACTTCTAATTCTAGAATATTTTATTTCATCCAACTGAGCCTAAGATTCTTGCTATATTAGAATGGTAAGGAGCATAAATAGGGAATGCTTTTACAGATTTAGCTAATTTGATATCTCCCTACTATATTCCATATAATAATGAATTATATACATATGATGGGTGGTAAGGAGTTGAAACATTGATAGGAGTACCAATATTAGAAGAAGTAGTAAATTCATACTTCAATGCTAGAAATAGTTTTGAAATTCCAGATATCAGATATCAAGTGATAATATCTATTTTGGCAAAGTCGATTGATTAATAAAAAAAATATAAAAGATCAAAGGAAAAGTAATTCTAAATTAATTCTGAATTTCTTTCATAAGCAGGATATTCAGTAATTTTAAATAAAACCGACTAAGATCCATTTCAAATAAGAAAAAGAGCTTTATCTGATGGATCATTATGGTCAAGTTGGCCAGTATCTGACAGATGCAAAAGCTATTATTATAGGATAAAGGATTTTTTAATAGAGAATGTATTCCCAATCGAAAAAGAAATCTTAGATTAAACTAGAAGTAGACCAAATTCTATTTCAAATAAAGGAATTCCTTAAGTAGAAGCTTTATAGAGAAAGGCAAAATAATTAGGATTATGGAATTTATTCATATCTGAACCTTTCTATGGCAAAGGACTTACAAGTTTAGAATATGTATTTATATCAGAATTAATGGGATTAAGTTATTTGGCTCATGAAATCTTTAATTGTTTTGCTCCAGAAACTGGTAATATAAAATTACTAATTGGTTATGGAACTTAATTTTAAAAAGAGAAATACCTAAAACCTTTATTAGAAGGAGAATGCAAATCTTTTTTTGCAATGACAGAGAAAAGAGTATCTTCATCTGATCCAAACAATTTTGAATTAACGATTACTCCAACAAATGGAGGCTTTATAGTAAATGGAGGTAAGTGGTTTGTATCTAGCGCACCAGATGAAAGGGCTAGATTTGGAATTGTGATGGGCAAATCGAATAAAGATATGAAAAACCCCATAGAATCATAATCTATGATCATAGTTGATATGCCCAATCCCAATATTAAGATACTGAGACAATTAGAAATTCTAAATTTTAATGATTATCCTCATAGCTATGCAGAAATAGAATTTGATAATGTTTTCATTCCATAAGAAAATCTTTTAGGAAAATTGGGAGGTGCTTTTAAAATGGCTTAAGGAAGGTTACTTGGAGGAAGATTACATCATTGTGTTAGATAGATTGGATTAACTAGAAGATGCCTAGATTTAATGATGATTAGATCTGAATCAAGAGTTATTTTCAATTAAAAATTGAAAGATAATAATTCTTTTTTGGAGAAATTAGGATAAATGGAAATTGCTCTCTAAAATTGTAGACTTTTGAGTCTTAATGCTGGATTATTATTAGATACAGTAGGATCATAAAATATACAAACTATTATGGCTGTCAGTTAATGCAAAGCTCATATACCCAAAACGTGCTAAAAATTGATAGATTAATGTATCCAAGCTTTTGGTGCTGAAGGTTTGACAGGTGATCAACCACTAACTGTCTCTTTCATATTTGCAAGAGCTATTAGATTTATGGATGGACCTTGTGAACTTCATCTTAAACAAATTGCCAAGTTTGCTTATGTTAATCATCTATTCAATGATCTAAATAATGTTCAAGGATATGGATTAGCAAAGTTATGATATTCATTTGTAACCAATAAAATATTATTAACACAATTCTTAATTATCATTAAACTTTTCCTACATTTTTTCTCAAATCTAACAAAAAATCTACAAGGATGGATTATTAATTTAAATTTAACTTTTATAATATAAAATTTATTTCAACAGGAATCATTATACAAAAAAATCAAAATGCTCTTTTTTTACAATTTCTAAATTATTGATTTTATTACCCTATCTTCGTCTAAAAAAAAAACACTCATTACCCTCAGTATTCCCATTCTTACATCAATTGATTAATATCGAAAATTTTTTAATTTTTGTTTGAAACAATTTAATTGTTACTTTGTTTCTTATTCAAAATTTCCTCTTTATCATTTTAGTATAAAATTTTCAAATATTTAAGTTTTTATATATCTTTATAATTCAAAAGAATTTATACAAATATCAAAAACTATTTTATTTTTTTCGCAACAACAAATGAAAATGTGTATTTTTATTTAAGACTGCTACTAATAAAAATTGTTTGGACAAATTAGGATTTTAAAAAATAACATATAGTAATTGTAAATTGTTTGAATGTTATTAAAATTATAATTACCTCAAACTCATTGTAAATAATATAACGATCAAATGTAATATCAATATAAATTCTAAACAATTCTAATATGTTTTAAACAAAATTTTTTCTTTACTCTAACGTTCATAGACAATCTCTCTTTATTCAATTTATTAATAATTTCAGAGATACCATCATCTCTTATTATAAAAAACTCAATAAATTTGTAGAAAAAAATTAAAGAAAAAATATTCTGATAGAATTAATAAATAATTAAACAACAAACGATAGTAAGCATTAAAATCATTTCAATTTTTCCAATTTTATTTTTCCTTTTTTAGGTATAGAAAGTTTTTAGCTTTAATCTAGTTATTTGTTTGTCATTTAAACTTGATTTTGTGTTGAAAATGCTCTATTTCTATTTTATTAAATTATTTGTTTATTTTATTAATTGTAAGATTAAGCCCTATGCTTCTAATTTTATGATTAAACAGTGCTTTTAGGTAATTTTAAGCTTCCTTTCATTGGAGAAATACGATGAGATTTAGTTTTATTATCTATATTTAAAGTAGTCAATCTAAATTTTTCTGTTTTTTTTTTTGGTAGAATCATACTGTCTTAAAATATGACATTCTCTTCTTCTGATATATTTGATTCATCTTCTAATTCTTGAATTTCATTTACATTAGTATGTTTCCAATGCTAAGCGGTGTGATCTAAAGTTTTTTATTTCGATTAAAACTTTAATCTTATTTTTTCAGCCTAAACATCATTCTCCCACTCCCCTTAATAAATTAAAATCCCTTTAGAAAACATTTTTCCGAATCCCTATCTAAGATCATCTTAAAACCAACCTTTATAAATAGTTCCATTAACCCATGTAAACTCCCCGTATCCTGATTTTTTATCAAATTAATAGGCCCCAACATATTTATCACATAAATTCTAATTTGAGGATTACCATAAACCTTAACCATGTCTCATACCATTTAAAAAAAAGCCTAGAAATCTTATAATATTTATACCCTAATAGAAACTACCACATTTCCAGAAGTATTCCCCATAACCCTCTGGTTTACCATTAATAAAATTTCCTCTAAATAAATCTCCATTTGCAAACTGCTCTTCTCCCATGCCATGCTTCATAGATGCAATAAAATCTCCTGTGTATAAATCACCTAAGATTAAAATCTTAATTACCTTTTTCAGATTAATAAACACCTCTACCCTCCACATAGCCATTATTCCATTCTCCTTTATACCATTAGTTTTAACTATTCCACTCTCCATAGCCACTTTTTTTACCATCGACCCAGTTTCCCTTATACAGTTCTCCGTTAACCCAAAAATATTCACCATATCCATTTTATTTATTGTTCTCATAACTACCATAATATTCAGCCCCATTCGAAAATTTTTCATAACCTAAACCTGATTTTTGATCTTCTAACCACTCTCCCATATACATTTTAAAGGAATCCACTACTTTCAATATACCTTTTAAGATTTTCAATTATTTTACCTGTTCCATGCTTCTTTCCATTACACATTTAACCAATGTATATCAGGTTATTAAATTGTTCTATTTTAAAGCCAGGCTTTTAAGAAAGAACATTTAAATCTATATTCTTGGCTATTTCAGAATGCTTTGCCAATTATTCTTGTATTGTATCATAAAAACTTTCCATTTAATAAATATAAATTCTAAACCTACTTCATTAAATAATTTTATTTTAAAAGTAATAGAATCTCTAATAAAATTAGAACTATCAGCTATGATTCAAATTTTCAGTTTCATATTTTTCAAATTTAACTTAATCGCAAACAAATATATTGAGAAAAATAAAATAACTATAACAATCATAAATAAATGTAATGAAAAGAAAGATCTAAAATTTATGAAAATTGTTAGACATATATAGAATTTAATGTTCTTATTAAAATAAAAAATAATATCATTACTTACTATATAGATTTTTACAAAAATTTTTATTAATGAAACAAAACTTTTTAATGACGATTAAAGAAATAATAAAAATCGACCATTATTACTTTTACACCTCTTGAATATGGATAAATTAGATGTGGTAAATTAATAATAGAGACTGATGATATGTATTGGTCATATAAAGTTAGAGGAACTTTACCAAAATATGAACCACCTAATGTATAACCTAAAATTGATACTAAAATTATTGTTAATAATAGTAGCAATTTTAACCCAAAGAATTTCTTATAAAATAATATAAAGTATTTCATTAATAATTATATTTATAGACGTAATCATTCGCCACCAAGCTTATAATAAAAATCTACTGCAATTATTTATCTTAATTTTAGTATATAAGTTTTTAAGGAATAACAATATTCTATGATCATAAATTCTTTGCCTTTAAAGAAAATGAAGTATTTTACTTCAAATGATTGTATAATATCTTATAAATTCTAAATGTTAGCATCCTAAGTCTTCATAATATTAAAATTGTTTCCCGATCTTTATCTAATCCTGGAACCTAAGATTCAGGATCAAATTAGTTATAGTAAGTCTATTAATAACACTTATGCTTATTTCGATTTGTTGCAGTCCTAGTTCTAGATGTTTACATAAACAAGATAAAAAATTATCTATTCAAAGTCATCCATATTTAGTAAAGATCAAATAATTTTAGTTGATCAAGTAATTAATTTTTTTTTATAATTGATTGACAAATATTAATTTTAATAATATTTATAAATTTATTTGGTCGATTATTAAATAATAAGTTAATTTGTTATTGATTTATAAACCAAAAGATATTATAATTTATATTTCTATTACAACTCTTTATCATCCTATCTAGCTATATACAACATGTAAATTAAGATTTTATTACAAATATTTTATGAAAAATTTTAGGAGCTTATTCATTATACACACATTGAGCATTAATCAATCCATTACTAATAGTATTTGAAAATGGAAGCAAATGGTTAGAAAATTATTTTCTCTTAAATAAGTATAAACCATTACAGTTTAAGAAAACGAATATATCCACTTTTACTCCTGAATTTAGCTTTAGTTTTATCTGCTCAATTATAATTGTGTTAAAAATAGATCTAAATCCAATTTAATATATTCTTAGCTTATGTTACCCATTTCGTTTATGAAATAGATTATAAAGATAATTGAAAGGTTATCAAAGTGATGTTTTCAAAGTTAACTATCCCTATTTTATTTTTAATTGGAAAGACAAAGAGCCTACCATTTATTATATTAGAATATTATTAATATATTAAAATAAATATATCTATAATAAAATTAAAACTAATTTAAAATAAAATAAATTAATAAGAATAAATAAAATAACTTAAAGATGTTTTTAAATAAAGAAATTTATTAATAATAAAATCATTCAAATTTTAAAGTTTTGTTAAATTGGACAGATTTGGTATCTCTAGTGAGTGTGGCTCCAAAGGTTCTTCTACTAAAATTAAGATTAGTAATTGCAGTAGATTTTTATTATAAGCTTGGTGGCGAATGATTACGTCTATAAATATAATTAATAATTAAATACTTTATATTATTTTATAAGAAATTCTTTGGTTTAAAATTGCTATTATTATTAACAATAATTTTAGTATCAATTTTAGGTTATACATTAGGTGGTTCATATTTTGGTAAAGTTCCTCTAACTTTATAAGACCAATACATATCATCAGTCTCTATTATTAATTTACCACATCTAATTTATCCATATTCAAGAGGTGTAAAAGTAATAATGAATTAAGTACCTTCTCTTCCATTAGGCTATAGTTCTCCATATTTAGGTGTGACTGAGAATTCTTAATCGGAAGATGGTGTAAAGTAAGCTCTAAAAGTGGCTTAATGTTTAGTACGATTAGTAATTCTAAATGAAACACTATTAGGTTTATTGAGTGGACTAGTAATAATAATAAGATCATCAATATCAGGTTCTGTAGCATCAAGACTCATTGGGAATTTCCAGACTCCACCAATATCTCTTTTGATAATCAAATCAAAATTGGCCTTGAAAGGTTTTAATGGATTAAAATTAGCATCAAAATGAACTTCATCACCATCATCAGCAGCAGATTAAATCATTCTAATTTTAAAGAATTTATCCATAAGAATTTTAACATCTTCTGAAACATTTTTAATTTAAAATGTAAAATTAGATTTCCCAATTTTATCAACTCCTGGTAATTAAAATTTGAATTCTTATAGAAAAGGTATTCTGCATTTAGTTTTAAATTATGTAAATTTACCAGTAGCAAATGATTCAGTATGTCCTATAATAGGATATCTCCATTTGATCTTTTCATTCATGGCTACAACCAATTCACATTTATATGATCTAATACTTCTAGGTGTAAATGAAAATGGGATTTATATTTATTATAATCCAGCAATAGTTGTTTTAGTATCATTCTTTTTTTTTATGAGTAATTAAAATGCATCATCATCTGATTCAATCATAATTTATACTTAAATTGTATCTCTGAATGGATTTTTAAAATGTATTACATCTGAATAATCTTTATTAATTCCAACAGTAACAGTCATTTCTGGAAATGCTGTTGGTGGAATTCCTACTCCATAAACTAAATATTCCCATTTTCCTATTTCTTATGTAATGAATCTAATTTCACCATTTTAAATTTAATCAAGACTACTAGGAGTAAATCGAATATAAACACTTGTATCTTAATGAGGTTTTAATACTATATCAGTAGGTAATACATCAAAATTAGCTGGGTTACTTATTTAAACTTACACATTAATTTCTTTGTCAATCGGATTTTCTAAATAAATTTCATATTCTTCAACTTTTCCTAATTCTGTTTTCAAAGTTGGAATTCTAATACTTTGTCTTTCTTCTGATATTAAACTTAAGTTATACCAAATTTCTCCTAATTTTGGATGTATAAATCCTATTACTCCTTTTTTCTTCTCTGGTAGAAGTGGTAGATAATAAAGTTCATAAATTGAACTCATTTAAGGTAAAATAGTGAAAGTTTTACTGCCATGTAAATTATCACCTTCTATTCTCACTTCAAAAGTTGCTTATTCAAATGGCATAGGATTACTAAGTTCAATCTCAAAACTAACTGGTTTTCTTACTTGAGTTGAAATCTCAACTTCTTTCTCAGCAATAGGAGAATCTGTATCTAATACCACAGTATACCAAATATATTCACCACTCTCTTCATAAAATGTTATTGATCCATTATATTAACCACTTAACATTGGCATCACTGATAATTCATAACGATATTTTCTTTATGGAGCAATCGTAAAATTCTATAATCCACTGGCATTAATTAAATCAGTTTCTACTTTATATTTCATTTCATTTTAAGAATAATTATTCAAAATTATTTCAGTTTTTGTTTTTTATCTAGCTTTACATTATAATACAATATTTGATTATGCTAAAGGTTCTTCACCAATTCCTGTAATTTAGTAATCATAGATATCATTAGTATTTACATTAGTAATTTATAAATGAGCCTCAACTTTACACATCCACTTTGGCGTGAATTGTAATTTGATATCAATTTTAGTTTTCTTTTTTAAAACCAAATCTTTATATCCTCCTATAAATATAGAACTATGTCCATGATCAGGTTAAGCAGTAGGAACATTTAATAATAAAAAACAGTTTCCTTCTTAATTTAATAGGAATTTGAAAGTCCAATCTTTATCACTAGGATTTGAAAATGGAATGTCTTAAACTATGCTTTCTCTAGATGGACATCTCATTTCCATTTAAGCTTTTGTTGGTTTTGGTAAAGCAGTAACTAAAAACTTGTATCTTCTTACATCAGTTTTATCATTGCTTCTAAGGGTCATAATGATGGGCATGTCTTTGACTGGATTCTTAAATAAAAATTGCAAAGGCATTTTATTGACATCAGGCAACATTGAAATATTAGTTGTAGCATTATTTGGATTGGCTGTAATATTGCTTATCATAGAAACATTCTTAATTTCAGTATTCTATCTGGTACCTTATTATTGTTGTGGTTATTATTATTGTAATGCTTACATCATCTTATCTTTTTCTAACTATTATTATTTCTCCAATTTTTCTCTTTATACTCTATTGGCTTTTTATTTCTGTAGATCCTGAACAGTGAATAATTTAGGAGCTGTAAGGAATCCAAAATGATTACTTAATTCAACATCGAAATTGATTGTTTCAGGTTCTCCTCCAGGTAAAGGTAATGATTTTTTACTAGTATAATTAAGAATGGATTCTTTTGCTTTAAAAATCTGTTCATTTTTTGGAAGAACCATATATTCCATAATAGCAGGTTGATCAACAAAAACTTAATATTATTTGATTTCTTATTAGATTTCTGGTAATTCAGCAGTAGCTAATATTTCATGTTGAAATTCACCTACATTAGGATCAGTAAATATGAGGAAACATCTCTATTATTCTAAGACCATGGGAACATATCTTAATTATAATTATAATTAAGATCCTTTTTTCATTTTAACTACTTCAGATTAACAAAATATAGCTGGAAAAACTTCTTTTTATTATTCAATTTGTTGAGATTTGTTATTATTATTTTGAATGGGTTTCCTTTTATTGGTTTCAGCAACTTTTTCAAACAACATCTTGATTGTGAAATTGCCAAATTCTGATTTAGTAAATTCATTAGAGATTTGAAGATA